AAACTTGAATTAAAGAGTAAGGGTAAGAGGATTCTTCTCTATATCAAAGTACAAAGCGAGATCATCCACCGGAGTGCTCTAGAATCCAAATCTAATGAAGAACACCAAGAGAACTTGTGGTGGCTGCTCCTATGATAAAACTACTCTTAATATTTCTGCATATCCCTAACAAAAGGCTAAAAACAAGTATATATAGGCTTAGGTTCTTATAGGGTCTTCTTTAGGACAAATCGGTCTTTTTATGTCAAAACTCTCCCAAAGTCGGTTGGGAGTGAAAAAGCGGTTTGTGGCTAGTTCTCTATGTTTGTTTTTGTAACGAGTATGTATGAGCATAAAATAAAGAACACAGAATTTTTTCCTGAGGTTCGATTTTTTCTACATTCCCAAGACCTAGTCCAGAATCAATCCATTAGAAATGGCCGCAACCTACAATTGCTATATAACATACCACCACTCTTTTCTACATGGACAAACTATGAAGATAGGTATCAAGCCCGAATGTTTGACAACCAACCAGCAGCACCGGTGCAACACTGTCTTCTCAACGGCTGCAATCTTCATAGACAAACCACCATCAATATGGTGGGACAATGCCACACACACATGTGTGCATCTCACAAAGGAATCCTAGGCGCGTAACTCTTTTTGTCAACGCCTCTTGCCTTTTATACTACCACCACGAAACCCTCACGTTTCATGTCATGTGGGCTTTTAACCTCTCATAATTGGGCTTCTAATTCAATAAGAGCTCAATCTCACTTTTCTCCATGTGTTGGAACAGCTCTGCATGTGTTCCAGTAGCTCGTATTCTGTTGCTCTAGAAACCTCTCTTTCAGGGAGTGTCAGCCAAAGACACGACCGGTATTGGGCCCAAAGTGCCTTGATTTGTGGTGGCATCAGTCTGGAACAACGGTCCACGAGGTGGCCCGGTATTGGGGTCGATTCTGCATTTGCTTCGTTTCTGAGGCAGCTTGATGTGTCTGCAGTAATTCCAGTGTATCTTCATGCTCACAGCTCCAATTGAGATGATTCAAACTTCATTATAAATCTGACTCAAAGATATATCTTCACACCAAGTTTCATCCAATTCCAAATCGATTTGATCCTCCGTTCACTGCTGAACTTCTGGCGTATACGTTCTGTCCAATTTGGTAGAATGTTGTTTCTTGTGAATTCTTGGTTATTGATGGTGTCTTTGGCTTGTAAAAGTTGTTGTGGATTGGTTTACACCTATTTTGGCTCTTTTAGATCATTTTTTTTTTGATTTTCTTGTAAAGACTAAAACTACAAATACGAGAAAAACTACCTTTAAAGGCATAAAACCGTAGATAAATGCATAGAAAATATAATAAAATAGATAGTAATAAAGGTAAAATATGGGACATATCTACTGAAAATGTTTATAGTATATTAATATTATTGATATAAGTAATTTTACATATACTTACAAGATTAATCGTAAAGTGTTAATTCTGATTTAGGCAACTTTACATTTATATTGAGTTATATACTAATATGTAAGAAAATATTTGGGTTTTATTTGGGTTTTTTAGTTATCTAAAGACCAATCCAAATAATCCATATCTAAATTAATATTTATTATTCGATCCAAATGGGTTTTTATATGAATCCAAATCTATACTAATCCGGGCTGTTTGTGTAAGCCTAACCATGGTTTGAATAGCTAACAAAGATTTTTCCTTATAAGTTATAAATAAACAAAATTTTCAAAGAATACTCAGTCACTATAAGTCACTAAGCGCGATATTCTATACGTGATGCCATTAACATCTTATTGTTGACGAGAGATGCATAATAGTTTTTGATCCCAAAAATGTTAAGATCTCTCGTGATCTCTTTCATGTGCTTCTTCCATTTTCCTCTCTTGAAGATGCATTTCTCTGAATCGAACTTTACACGTGGTAAAATGCTCCTCTACTCTCTCTTGCCGAGTTCATCTCTAAATGCTTTCCGATAAAAGGGAACTCTACATTTTATGATACATTTGAGATCGTTCAAATTTCCTTTGAGGATCTCAACCACCTAATTAGAAAAAAATGATCAGTACAAGAGCCGATTTTTCTTTACTTGTTGCAGAAGAAACTTGCTTTAAGTACCTGACTCATCTCAGGCCTCAGTATCGATGACTGTTGGATTGATAACGAAGCAGCCAAAAGCACAAGTTTAATCTGCATCCACTCGTACTCACCCGCCAGAGATGGATCGATTAGCTCTCCAATTTTGTTTTTCTTCATCAATGGTTTAGCCTGTGAACACAAAAATGAAAAGAATTAAGAACAAACATGGGATTAACTCGCGAATGGTGGCACATTTTGTGTTGGCTCTAAGGCCAAAGGAGTCAACTCAGTTATAATTGTCATTCAATTCCACTGTGTGCAAACACTGTGAGTGAGTTGCGTTCCAACACGGGTGTTTTACCCGTGCTAGCTTGTGGGAAACCCATTGCTAAATCCAACCACAAAAACGTGAAATCTTCAGAAATCTCAAAAAAACAAAAAAGAGAACTCACCCACAGAACAAGACTTTGTTTGGAGTAGTCAAGCGCTCGTCGTCCAGTAACAAGTTCCAGTAAAAGTACACCCAAGGCAAATACATCGGTTTTTTCATCTACGATCCCGTGAGTTAAGTACTCCGGAGCAAGATATCTGAAACAAAGGACTCAACAATCTATCTCTGAGACTTCCATGGTAAAAGCCAATATCAAGGAAGAGTATGGTTAGAGCGTGTAGACTTTACCCAAATGTGCCCTCAAACTTGGAAACAACATGGTGAGTCCAATGTTCAGGTAGCCATTTTGCAAGCCCAAAGTCGCATATCTAAAACCTCAATTAAACATGTTCATCACAGGTCTAATAATTTGAAAGTGTATTCTTTTTCCGAGCATCATTTAGGTATGTACCTGAGGCGAAAAATTGTGTGTGAGAAGAATGTTTGCGGCTTTGATATCTCTGTGTATAATTCTCCTGTGACATCCACTGTGAAGATACACCAAACCCTCTGCAACTCCCAATGCTATCTTGTACCTGATGCTCCATTTCATCTTCTCCTTGGAGTCTATCCACGAATAATTCGTCATAATTAAATAGATGCGATAATCATAATAAAGAGAGAAAAAAGGGTAGAGTTTTAGAGAGATACTATAAAGCATAGAAGCTAAGCTCCCATGAGGCGATAACTCAAGAACAAAGTGCATTCCTCCTTCAACCCCATAACCTAAAAGCTTGGCTATGTTGGGATGGTTTACATGTGCCATTATACCCATCTCCGAAAGAAAATCGTCAATGTTCTCTTCGCTGTCTCCCCGCATCAACCGTTTTATCGCTACCATTTGTCCATTTGATAACCTCCCCTTGTAAACTTCTGCGTAGCCTCCTTTTCCAATCAGATTCTCTGCAACACATCCACAATAACACATTTCTACAATCACATAAACATCAAAATAATACTAATCAATTCCATAATAATTCGACTTATTCTTCACTCAAAACAATCGAAATTCGATTTTAAAATTCTGTT